ATGCCAGTTTAAATCTCTGGCCCCTACACACCATGTTACCAATATCCACGGCAAGGAGCAAGCCAAGCAAACCCCTCATGCATTGGCACTCCCTACAGCTGCATAAAACCAAAGGCTGTGGGTAAAGCCCCTATCTCTGCTGCCCCAAACCTGTGAGCTGAGCAGCGTGGGGACGGACAGACAGATGGGATATCAGTTCCTATGTACAGGTCCTGCTGCCAAACAGGGGTTACAAAGAAAGACCTCTGAAGATTTCTCATACTTTTTGGCTTATCCTCTGTGTTTGCTCTTAACAGAAATCAGCTGTTCCCCTTCTCACTTGTGCAGCATTTGCAGAATAGACTGTAGCATCTGGTCTGGTTGTTATTAAAAGATGAGAACATCCTGCATTGTGAGGAGGACACTACTTCTGGCAATGAACACAGAAAGATCCTTCACAGTCAGGTTTCCAGAGATCTGTCTGGATTATTATCTGCTATTTTTTCCCCATTCTTTTTTTCCTCTCTGCAGACATAGCCACTGTTTTTCTTTCCTGTTTCCTGGCATTTCTCAGCCTGCCCTGTGCAGGGATAGCAGCGGGGCTCTCCTGGGAGGAGCTACCTGGCAGCATTTGGATGTCAGAGCATCATTCCAAGCTGCTAAGGGCTTCTTTCTTCATCTGCGGAAATGAAGAAGTAAACAAACAGAGGGGGGCTGCCTTGGTGTTTAGGCTTGGACTTTATTTCCAAAAGTGCTCACAAGGCGGAGCGCAGAGGAAGACTGATGAAGGGATGGGAAGGAGGGGCCAACAAGCCCTGGCTTCCTCCTGATATGTGGCAAGGTTTTAAGACCTGCGTGTCCAAACCCAGGGATGGGGAGGGGATTCAGGGGAAAAGGCACAGATTGCTTTTCGGGAGGTTCGGGGTGGATGGCAGAGAGGCGTGGGAACAGGAGGGCCCCAGAGAATCACAGAATCCTTAGAGTCGGAAGGGAACTTTGAAGGCCATCCAGGCAATTCCCTTGCAATGCACAGGGACACCACAGCTAGAACAGGGTGCCCAGGGCCTGACCCAGCCTTGCCTTGACAGTCTGCAGGGACGGAGCATCAATCATATCTCTGGGCAACTTGTGCCAGTACCTCACGGCCGTCAGCCTCCATCCCCATCCCTGGGAGGTAGCAACACTGGCAGGACAGAGCCCAGATGAGCAGATCTGGTAGCGGTGGTGGTTCTGCACAGAGCTCCCTCAGAGCAGGAGTTCTCCAGAGACCCTTTCCAGCCCAGCACTATCGTGACCCCTCATCAACAGCACCAACACACGTGGGCTGGGAAATGCCGGCACCCAAATCCACAGGGCTATTAATAGAGGGACCGCAGCTGATCTCTGCTGGCGCAGTCACTCTTGCGTTTGGCCTGGTGGGGACCGTTAACCACTGGCAAGTTGCTGCAGCATATCAGCTCTCCCTGGGTTGTTTGCTCTTCCCTAAGAGTTGGGACATCCCGAAGCTCCAGCTGCTCATCCCGATCCCGCTGCCAAGGAGCGGCCAAGCGCTCACGGGCCGCAGCCCGGCTCCTCTCCGCTCTTTTCCTGTCCCACTGTGAGCGCGGAGGAAATCTGTTGAGGCAGCACAACTTGGCCCTGGCTCCGCATTGTTTTTGACCAGATCAGCAGTCTGGAAACTGGGTCAGTTTTTCTAAACATGCGGTTTAGAAATGTGCTGTTTCAAAGGACGCTATCCAATGGTGTGAGACCAAACACTGGGTTTGTAGTAAAAAGAGCTAAATAAGAAGAAACAAAGAAACAAAAAAAGAAAATCAAAGCTTCTACTCACAATGAGAGAGTGCGAGGAAGAGCTCAACAAAGTGGGAAAATAGTAAATTCCATCGTTTGTGTTTAGGGAAACTGAGGTATAAAAAAAAGGCATCCAGAGCTGCTTGGAAAATCACAGATGGAGTTATAATTTCTCAGCTACATAACCAAAGCTAATCTGGCTTTCCTTTACAAGTTCTCACAAATATAATTCTAGGGGATTTCTTCTATTCTCTCACCTCAACTGCAATGGCAATGGGAGTGCAGGGAGATCAGGGAGTGCTTCAGACAGATAAGACAAGGAGCTCCAGATGGGCAAAATCTGGGAGTTAGTATCAAAGAGGGAAATCCAAGACCATATATGACCTGGTTAACACAGTCAACGTTAGAAACACAGGCTGCATTTACCCTAAATATACATGCAGCTATCCTGCACAAAAGTATCAGGGCAGAGCTGTTAACTGCAATTTTAGATTACAAAGTACGCCTCAAGTCACTTTGTTTTCCAAGCTACAAATCACCAGATGCTCTTAGAGGTTTCAGCTTCGTTCTCTAGGTACCCATGCCCTTATCTGTCAGTAGGACTTGCTACTCTTTGGAGCGCTGGGAGATGCACACAGACCTCCCTCCACAGCTATGTAAGTACCACAAAAAGACCCGATTCTCCACACATCCCAGACTGATATTGCACCAGAGAATCTGCAGGGAAAAAAGCAATTACAGAAGGTCACACTCAGCCCTTTTGAACACCATGTATTTAACTTCTTTTTGCTTTAAGCCTCAAGCTAAAGATTTTCCTTTGAGACATCACTGGGTAGAAATGCCCAACCTGCTCCCTGAAATGAACCCACCACAGCCAGCTCCATCACCCACCCGCAGTTAGAGGTCTTTATTTGATCTGCTCATAACTTCACCCAGTCCAACAAACAGCTTTGGAGAATAACGCTTTCAGGCTGTGAGAATTTAATTGTGTGTTGGGTGCTTGAGCTGCACCGTCCCCTCTGCTACACAAATACGGGATGTAGCATTGCCATCCATAAGAGGTCCTAGGAGATGGATTTCATCCCAAAATACTGCTTAACTTCATCCTGACCATGCAGAAGGTGACTAGATGGTGCATATTAATCCCTGAATATATCCTGAGGTTACTTCCTCCCTTCCTTCAGTAACCAGCTCAATGCACTTTATATTTGGTGCCAACACAGGGCTTGGTGCTGAGCTGTAATGGCAGACTCAACTCCGTCTCCTGCTTCCCCCCAAGGGCTGTAAGACTTCACCCCAATAATCCAGTCATTCAACCCTCGCAACCCAAAAGCAAGAGATTATTTACTCCCACTAAAAGGGAGGAATGACAGCTGACATTGCTCCTCTTAGGAAGCATCTTTAAGTCTTATCTTCTAACAGTACTCTGATTTTGCTCTTCCCCCACCATTCCACACGTCTCCATATTGGGCAGCCCTTCAGAATGAGCAACACAGCTCATTTTGTCTCAAAAGTGGCTTATTTCTGGCTAAGGCATGACAATGACAGTGACATCCTCAAGATACGAAAGGGAAAAGGAACCAAAAGCAATACCTCCTAAGAGCATACAAGGGAGAAGCCTGTGGGAATCATTCTACTGGATCAGAAGGATGGTTTGGTTCTTCCAGCCCTTGTGTTGACCATGTGAGCAGTAAAAAAATGGGTCAGAAAGCTATAAAAGGCAGAGGGGTTATTCTAACTCCTCAGTAACCTGCCTGTGCAAAACTGAATCCTGCCAGAGCTCCTTTTTAGAATTGTTTTTAGCTGAATGTGCATTACCTATACAATCACGCAGTCGATTTTCAGCTTAGACAACAGCCTGCAGCAGGGAGCCCCTGCCCTGCCTCCCAAAACCAGGGTGTAACCCAGGCTGGAGAGGACCAGGAGGACTCCAGCCCGAACTCCTGCTCCAGCAGCCTCAGCTCCAGGTCAGACTGGGTTGCTCTCTTTATCTGGTTGGGTCCTTTAGGTCTCCAAAGATGGAAGTGGCACAGCCTCCCTCCACCTCTGCTGATCAGCCAGACTGTGAGGAGTTGTTTCCCTTTATGAGCATGCAGGTTATGTAGAAAAGCAGTAATATATGAGCTCCCCACCTGTGCCCTGTCTAGCTAAAGTGGATTGCCCATTGTAGGTGAAGGCAACAGAAAGTGCTAGCACTGATGCTATAGCAGTTATCCCCCCAAAACTAGTCATACAGCAGTACATCACACCACACCGACCTAAGTCCTGGATGAGGCTTCCCTAAAATCAAGACCCAGATTATGGGCTGGGGTGGAAGCGCTTTCAAAATCCCCCAGATATTATCTGCCTTCAACTACCATTTAAGAAGTGCTCAGATCCTCAGTAAAGCAAAGTTTACTCAATGAGTACTAGTAATACTCAAGTTTCCTCGTTGAACTTCAGAGTGAAAGGTTTCTTGAAATGAACAGAACCTCGTGCTTCTGTGCTACCGTTTCACATGCAGACTCAAAGAACAGCTGGGAAGGAGAAGAACGTGCTATGAAACCAGGCACACAACTCCTCTCCTCTCCTCCTGCAGACAGCTCTGGGTGAATTGAGCATTGCCTTCATTATCAGCATCTCCTCCTACCCCTGACACAAAGCCAGAGGAAGAACAGCATCCTCCCTCAAGCCCCTCCTTGTCCATATATGTATTTTGCTGCTTGGAAACTGTTGTTGCGTCATGCCACACAAATCACAAGGTTATCTGCAACTGCACTCCTCGGGTCTGACCAGGAAGAGGTGGGGACAGCGCAGCCGCCACCCTGGACAAGTGCCATAAACCCAAATCCCTCCACCCGGTTTGGAGATCTACCTGAGCTTTGCCCACTTCAGGCTCTTCCCACAGCCCCACAGCACCAGAATGCCCCTTGTAACGCCAGTTGTCAGGTTCCAGAGTTAACAGCTGTGCTCTCCTAGGAAACACGTTTGCTGACAGCTTTCAGACTCAGGAAGAAAAGCGATGTTTGAGATCAGGGTTAGAAGGTGCCCGTTACCACCTGCAGACATGGAAGTTGGCTGTTCGTGTTCAGTCAAAAACTTAAAAAGTGCTGCAGAAATGGAAGAGGCCAGCCCTGGAGGGCCAGGACTGCGTCCCATTGCATCCTAACTTTGCCCAACAACTTTGCCTGGTCATGAAAGTGATCTGCGCAGCTGAGAGGACACAGCGGGAGAAAAAGAAGCAGAGAACATTAACAAAAAAAAGCCATTTTATTGAAAATGAAATTCAAACTTCAAATTAATATTACAATCATGAGAAAATGCCAAACAATTCAATTTACAGTTGCAACATACAATACAAATAGTCCCTTTGAAGTTGAAGTAAACCGATCCACAATCATCGTCTGTGGCATAAAGCAGAATGTGTTTGTACAATATGTGCATGAAAAGCAAACCTCCGGTGACAGCGTTTGAGAAAAAATAAAAAAATTAAAGCTTGTATTTACACAAAATGCTACAAATATTTCGTTCCGGCAGAAATTCAAGACTGGTAAAGCATTATTTAACAAAAAAAAAAAAAAAAAAAAAAAAGGAATGTCACTCATAACCTAAAACAAAAGTTACTGTAAAAGTATGGTTTTGGCTGATATACTTAGAAGTACTGCATTAAAAAAAAAAAAAAAAAAAAAAAAGCAAAGAGTTATCTGTAAACATGGAAGTAAACAAACATCTAAAAGAGTTCTCAGAAAAAAAATGTTAAAATGAAATGCATTATATTTAAAAACAACAAGAAATTCTGGGGTTCAGAGAATTGGGCTCCTTTGATCTCGTACTCATGGCTGGTCTGGGTTTGGTTATTGCTTTTGTTCATGGCTTGCTGGCAGTGCCCAGCGGCAGCTCCTGGTGGCGTGGCTTTGCTAAGCTCCAAAGTGCACAAGTTCTCCTGCTTGAGATGGCACTGCCATGCCTGGGACCTCCTGCACGGGGCTGCTGGCACCACAGCCAGCACCGGAAAGGGACGAGCAACGCCGTGCAGAGGAGGTGGGAGATGCACTGCGCTCCATCCCCACCCGCCGGCACCGCGCCGCGCGAGGAGGGGAGGAGGATTCAATCCTCCATTGGGCAAAAGGGCCATCGTGCCTGTTCTGCTGGGAGTTAATCTTTGGTAGGGTAAGAGACGGAGGATAATAAAGGCCATTTTTTGTCGTTATCGATGGCCAGTGCCAAAGATTGCACTCGTTGAAGGGAAGGGCTGTCGTACCTCTGAGAGAAAGCTCCTTTCTGTTGATGCTAAGCACCTTGCAAAATAATCCCGTAAGGTAACAACATGACATCTGTCTTTTTTGGTTGGTTTTCTTTTTCTTTTTTTTTTTTTTTTTGGTCTGAAATCCTGCATCGAGAGCATTTCCAAGTGATCTTGGAAGCACTTTCCAAAGGCTTCGATGTGCATTTCTGCGTCAGCCCCCTCGGCTGCCATGTGATGGTGGGAGAGGTTTTCCTGAGGCACCACGAGGTGCAGGGAGCAGAGGGTCTCCCGGAAGTCAGTGGGCCGGTGCTCTTCCATCAGCAGGTGCTTAGAAAATCCTCTCCTTCCCATCTGCTCAAGCAGACAGCGCCTGCACGGCAGCGGGAGCCGGGTGCAGGGGTCAGGATGTGCTCCTCACACAGGTGGAGAAGGCGTTCTGTCCCTATCGCCCACCTTAAAAACCATGGGGGGCTTGGGCAGAGTGCTGTCGGTACTGAGCAAAACAGAAGTCTGGTCTGTGCTGGATTTATCCAGAAACAAAACCAAGTGCTTGAATTTTACAACAAAGTCTTAAAAAAAAAAAAATCTGGGTTGCTGCCTGCAGCCACTCTAACAACATTTCAACACAAAAGCACCCTAAAAATTACTTAATATGCATACAGTAAACCTTAAAAAGCCCTTCTCAGCAATAACAAATAATGTACAAATATAGTACCTTTTATTAAATAGGAAACAGCTTGCACTGGCAGTACATCTTTTTCTCTTGCTTACTAAACAAAAACCAAAACTGAAATGTGTAACCAGACACTGGCTTTTTAAGTGCTGCTGAGACTAACAAACGTATTTTACAGTTACAAATAAATGGACAGTGGTATGCTTCAAGCTACCACAAACCAACAATAAATAGAATCAATTACAGCTTCCATCTTTGAAGGAAAACTATTAGGAAAAAAAAAAAAAAAAGTGTCTTACTTATATTTTAAGCATACTTGGTATACAACCTTTAGAAGGCAAAGACTTTTTTTAAGAGCACGCAATCACGCAGATTGGAGGAATGTACTACGCTAATGATGACTAGTTGTAGTTTAACAGCTTTGCTATCAACTAACAGGGATGGTGTTGGTGTTGTCCTCGTGGCTCTGTGTGGCTGTGCCTGCTGTGGATTCACTGCGAAAACTGGAGGCGGCCCAAGCACAGCCAAGGAACATCAGCATGGCCCGCGGCCCCTGAGGAGGATGCTTAGATTTGGAGTCATTCAGGTTGGTGAAGACCTCAAAGGCCATCAATCCCACCACCAACCCGACCATAGGTTATGGCTGTGCTGAGGGCAGAAGGGGAGGGTCGCAGCCCTTTTGAAGGGCTAAGCCAACACCAGGCTTGGGCATCCCCACCAAGCAAGGGAAAAACAACCTGCTGGGCAAAATGTGTGCACCTCCAATAGGCACTTAGGCAGCAGACAGGTTGGCTTAAGGGGGTTACAGGTTAAATTCATTCTCCCTGCGTCAGTGTACCACGCCTGGGAGCCCCAGGGCGGCCTTAAGGTGACTGTCTTCAGCGCCGGGTCTGAAGAGCGGAGTATTGCTGAGCTTGTGCTTGTTTCTCTAGTATGGCAAAGTAAACCCAACGTCTTTAGGAGTTCAGCATTTAATGCTAGTGCTCAGTGATTCCAGGCTGGGAAGCTTCTATCTCAACTTCGAACTTTTTTGTTCCATAGAAAGGGTTGAAAATTTCTAGGGCAAGAAAAGGTTGCACCAATTCCCCCTTACTCCCATTTCTGAGAAACGCAACAACTTGTTAGTTCTGTACTATGTGATTTTGATTTTTCTTTGGGGAAAAAAAAACAAAAACCCAACAAACTATCAGAATTCAAACCAAGCTATCACAATGTTTTAAATATGAACACTTTCCAATTTTGAAGTTCTGAGAATCCTGGGAGAGGAAGAAATCAGGGGAAGGGTTGAAAATATTTCATCCTTCCTACCACTTTTTCCAGTGTCTCCACAACTGCTGATCAAAAGGCAAGACTGTGTTGAAGGCAATCTGACAGCTAATAAAATATTCTGAACACAATATTTCCTTCATAAGTTACAGAAGAAGATCCTACATCCGAAGTCATTTGATGTGGAAGTATTTGGGCTGGTTTTGTTTCGTTTGTAAGTCACTTGTAAAGCGGTTCACACTGGGACTGCTTCTCAGAGTTGGGTCAAGTTTTGAGGTTCACACCATTGTAGAAATGTAAAAAAATAAAAATAAAAGGCCAACAAACAAAAAAAAAACAAACCACTTTTAGAGACCGAAGTCGATATATCATTACATTAAGAAACGTTTCAAGGGTCCAAATGTCATTAAATAATTATAAATATTCTTTTAAAGTTATATGATGATTCATGTTCGCAAACAACCTCAAATTTTATACACTTATAATTTAAAAAAATATAAAAAAGAATGTAGCTGAACACAAATACTATGCATACCATTTTGGCTCTAGTAATATATATTGCCGTTTCCATATTTTGCATAAGTAATAATGTTTCGTTCTTAAAGGTTTTGGTTTTCTTTTTTGGTTTTTGGCTGATCGAAGGCAAGACGAATGGATACAAAAGCAAAAAGGAAACCCTGGGGCTGTCTAGCCTAACTCGAAGACTTGTTCTCTTTAGGTACCCAAAAACAAAACAAAAAAGGAGTGAACACAGAGAAGTTCCAACTGTTATCTGCAGCAAGGCTCGGTCAGAGTTTTGGGACAGCTATTTTCATCTGAATGGGACAAAGTAAATTGGAAGCAACTTGATCTTTGCTTTCCTTCTTATGTGCACCAATACAAGCTAGTTGAATTGCACTAGGTGTGTGAGCAGGGTCCCATACGTTGTATGATTGCAACTGTATCTGGAATTCATGATGAGTTTTTAAAAATGAAAGGGAACGCAGCCTTTGCCTTGCATCACCGTGTTTGTCCTGGTAGCTGGGGAGTCCATTCTCTCCTCATTGGCAAAAGAACTCACTATTCATTACCATGCTTGTGACAAAAAAAAAAGTGGGAAAGTGGGGGTGATTATTTTTTTTGTGTGTGTGTAGAAAGTACATTTTAAATATCAAAGAAGGAAAAACGGTTCCAAGAAAAAAAAAAAAAAAAAAGCTTTGATCCAAATAAACTGAAACATGGGTGGTGCTGTGTTGGTTAACTCTTGTGTTATTTATGGCCGTTATCATCCCATCTACACAGTTGCAAACATTGGTAAAATCTATCAATTTTTTTTTTCTTTCTTTCTTTTTTTTTTCTTTTTCTTTCTTTTTTTTTTTTTTTTTTAAGAAAAAAAAGTAAAACAAAAGCCAGGCACTTCGTAGTTTGTCGACCGTTTGGGTTTTTGGCTCGCAGAGGTCGGGCTGGGCAGAAGCAATCTCAGTACGGCCTCCAAACGGACTCATCCATCCTGCCACTAGAATTCAAAACGGTTGGGGAGCTGCTGTGGCTGCCATCCGCCTCCACACCGTCACTCTGGTTGGGCAAGTTTGGGTTTAGCAGCGTGCTGCCGTTGGACGTGGTGGTGCACGGAGGAAGCATCCTGGAAGGGGAGCGGTCCCCTCCCGGCACCATGGGGAACTGGTACGATCCCGACGAAGTGCCATAGTAGAGATATGGAGTGCTGCTGGTCTGGAAAGGTCCACTTTGGTTTTGGGAGGAGCCGGGGTAGGGTGGTGGCAGGTAGGTGTGGTAGTGAGTGGTTGCGGACATACCCAGTGACATGCCTGAGGTGACGGGCGGTGTATAGGTAAAGGTGGCTGGATAGTGCATTCGTGGGTTGGAGAAGCGGCTCTCAGTGAGGGATGAAATGCTTGTGAACTGCCTGGGATCTGAAAATGGGCCCAGCTCGGAAGCACCTAAAAAATTATAACAAAAGATGGGGGAAAACAATTCCGTAAATACCATTTTTTGTATCAAGTGATGATAGAATTTAATTTATTTTTTTAAAGAAAACCCACTTCTTCTGGTCCCCAAAAGAACAGCAGATCATACCCAGTAACACATTGCAAGGAACAGAGTCATACACCTCTCCTACCGGCGCCGGGCCGGAATCGTCCCTGCTCTGACTCCACCGATGCCAATGGAGGAGCGGCACTGCCAACCCAAAGCGTGCCGAGTCGCGAGTCAGGCCCCCCAAAAAGCATCTCAAAAATCAAGATCTGAAGAGAGCCAAAAATATCAGTGCAGAGTCGAGTTCGATTTGCCTTCTGCTTTCTGAGCTTTGAGGGCATGCGCTTGGGTGACTGGTGTCCAGCTGTTCATCGTGGCCTCGATGGAAATGAAAGCTGGGGCTCTATGTCAGCACGTGCCCCCAGGAGCTGAGGCCGTAAGAAAAAATGGCAGCTGTGCAGCTTGTAACAAATGTGTGGCAGCTGGCAACACCGAGTTAGCTGCCCCACTGACACCAATGGAGTTACACTGGGGTGCCCGAGCCCCACTCCTTGTCCTAAAGCCACCTGCTCAGCTATCCTTACGAGTAGGAAATTGTATCTGCTGCAAACTGGGCCAGGATGCTAAAATGATAGGAAAGATGCAAATTTTCCTCTTCACTGTCTATGGAAAATTACAAGCCCAGCACTGACTCTGCTACTGAAAGAAGCTGTTTTCCTATACAGCCCGTGCAGCCTGCTTGAAAAAAGACCACACAGTTTAGGGCTACTGTAAACGCCTGGATGGTAACGCTGTGAATGTGATTCTAACGCAAAACAGGGGTGGGTAAACTCATTTTGCCTAATTTTGAATCCCACATCAAACGCCCAGAGTTTAGGAGCAGAACGGAGAAGGAAATGTTAGCAGCTTGGAGACTGCAGGGTGGACAGGAGAGGGGAAAGGGACGGCGGGAGTTTGTTCTGATAGCCAGAGAAGCGGGGAAACAAAAAGGGTGTGGGGAAAGGGACAGAGGAAAACAGAAAAAGCCCAACTGAGAAGCGAAGTGCAGAACAGAGGCAACCACTTCAGCCAGTACACGGCAGGCAATGAATATGTGTGAATGAGAGAGATGGAGAGAGGAGGGTATAGAGAGCGAAATAATCACAGAATCAATTTCTCACTGCAGACACAACTACAGCTCTCCATTACTTTAGACCCAAGGGCTCACCCACCTCTTGCTGAACTGCCATCTCATTCACTTAAAAGGAAAACGCGGGCTCTCCTGGGTGCCAACTGATGTGCCAAACACCGAAACCCCACACAGCCTCCATGTGAAAGCAGCAGTGCTATTCCTTGCCGACATGGGGGGCAGCAGACCTGCAGCACCGTGCAGCCCTCTGCAGCCCTTTGCCTTTGCAGCCGCAGGTTCGGCAACCCTCCTGCCTTGCAGGGTTTTGGGATTTAAACCACCATTCTCCCCTGCTCTCCCAGCCCATTTAGCCTATGCCTCCAGTTCAGTATCCTACCAGGCGATACCCCGGTGGCAGCAGGGCAAGTTTTGTTACAGCATGGATTCAGGCTGAGGACGTGGGTCACTGCCAGTCCAGAGTCTGACCCATCGAGCTGCAACCCAGGAGCTGCAAGGTGCCAGCTCACAATATTGAGAGCACAGGGTCCTACACGGGCAGTAAAGGCCCAATCTTAACTCTGGTGACAACGTGATTACTATTATCTTTATCTGGAACCGAATCAGTGACCTAGGGGTGCATGGCTCTGTCTCCATCATCACCCACAACAGCGTGGAATGTAATATAACTTGTACCTTCCCAGCAAACACTCTGCTGCTTGATGCAACTGCTCTCGTTCCCAACTGCAAACAATACCCAGAGGCGATACCACCCAGATTCAAAGCTGTAATTTTGGAACTCAATCCTGTATATTGTGAACAGGTCTGATACGTATCTGGAAATATAAGGCCAGAACATAATTTCCCCAGCTGCTCAAAATACTGAGTTTCAATCTGCTACTGCTTACACTCTTTTTTTTCCCTTCTTTTTAATTGTTATTGCAACTCTCCCAACATGAACAGAGTTGCTTTTAGTTTACCCTGATAGAAGCTAAACAAGACTTCTACAGTCAAAGGAGAAGTGGTATGAGTGCAAGGGTGCAGAGGAGCAACGGCATTTTTGGTTTCTTTGCAACTGATATCTATATCTATTTATATCTATAATAAAGGGCTGCCCAGGGAGGTTGTGGGGTCATCGTTCCTGGAGTTTTCAAGAAGTGTGTAGACGTGGTACTGAGAGATGTGGTTTGGTGGGAAATATTGGTGGTAGGTGGATGGTGGGACTGAGTGATCTTGGAAGTCTTTTCCAACCTTGGTGATTCTATGATTCTGTGATTCTACAATTATCAACACAATAATTAAAAGCCGATCTTATTTTCAGGTCTAGATCCAAATACTGCCTGGATGGATGCATGCTCTGTATGACCAGAACTGTGCACATCATGCTTAGGCGTTTCTAGGACAGACCTCCTTACACATCCCAGCAAATTCACACTGGTTTTACTGTTGATTGTAAAGCACAGTCTTACCCACCCAAAGGCCAAATAACCATAATGCTTCCTTATCTTGCTCATGGCTGTGCCTGCACCACTCCCACACCACACTCACACCTCCAACCTTCCCTCTGCCCAAATGCCTTTTGCTATTTCCATAACTTCCTGCAATAGGTTCTGTTCCTTCTTCAGCCTCCTGTATCCCCAGTGTGTAAAGATATTTTTTGGAGACCAGAAGAAGTTTTCTATGGTGTTTATCCTAAAACTCCTTTTCCAAATTACTCTGGAAACCTCTTAAAGAGAAACTTCTGAAAGAGTTTCTTGCTGTCCTCACTGCTATGCCATCTCCCTGATGCTGTACCACCCTCCTGCCCCTCCCCTCATGTTAGGGCTGACTTTGGTTCTGACTTGCAAACCCCAGCTGCATATTCATTCATGCATGGTTAGCTCTTTGCTGGGCTGGGAACATAAGCAGCTTTTTGGGTACGGCACTACTTTGCTATATCTACTTGCACACAAGCAGCAGCGCTGATTGGCAATATAGCAACATGACAGTGCAAGCAAATAATTCATTTACTCCTCTCTCCAGCAGGATTAAAGATTTATGCTAATTTTTCCACTGTCAGAGCAAGAACATCATTTGCATCTGTGAATTCCCACTCTCGTGATAGCGTGTAATAAATGGGTGAAGCACAGAACCTCCACCCTGTGCTGTGGCCACAACATTGTGAAACCACGTTCTGCACAGAGCATCGCCTGTCCTCCTTGCTGCCAGAAACACAGTGATGAGCACAGGGACAGATTTTGCCCCTGTAACATCTGATCCACTCACAGTGTTCGTCAGCACCAAACCGAACAAAACCTTTATGTTAGAGGGTAACCTCAAGAGGCACTGGCACAGGTTGCCCAAGGAGGCTGTGGATGCCCCATCCCTGCAGGCATTCAAGGCCAGGCTGGATGTGGCTCTGGGCAGCCTGGGCTGCTGGTTGGCGACCTGCACACAGCAGGGGTTGGAGCTGGAGGAGCACTGTGGGCCTTTGCAACTCAGGCCGTTCTGTGATTTATAGGTTGGGACACACATTTTCTGAGGGACACAGGCTAAGGATAGAAGCGTGGTAATGCTAACATGCCAATACTAAGATTATGTAAGATACTATGTTGGAGAATACTTTGCCAGTGTGTTTCAGATTTAGAATAAGAACAATTAAAATTCCATGTGGTTTCACTTATTTTGATGCAGAAGCCTCATTAAAAACCCTGGCCTTGGGAATTTGCCAGCAGCCGACTGAAATGGCTTTGCGTTTGCATTTGAAATCCTATTTTACCTGCTGCAGCTTCACAGCTCCTCTGCTCAGAGCAGACCATGTGCCCCAGTCACTTCTCTTTTCAGGTTACAGATGCCAGCCATTCACCTTTATCTGTCAACGAATAAGCCATGCTTGCAGTCGGCAGAAAACAAGTCAACAAATTTCTGCCAGGTTTACAGCCCTCGGACCAATCTCTTCCAATTATTAAAGATCATAACGAACTGTGAATAGATTAACTCCATGTTGGCACAGCAAGCTGCCATCAACTTGAAGGAGATACAGGATCACTCCATAACTTGAAAATGTTGCACATGGCTCTGTCATTTCTGCAGTTTGCTTTGTCTCTTTATGCTATAAGGCATCACAACAGAGCAGAAGGACCCCTGGCTCACTGCATATGTCTGATAAGGAAATACCTATCTGACTGAGTGCTGTGGTATTGGAAGTCAAGCAAAGAGACTACCCCAAGGCAACGCAGCTCTGTGCAGCTAAATACATTGACCAGTATCACCTGTACTCGTGAATGGTGTGTGCAGCCTGGCCTGCCTACAGCTGCTCATCCCACCTCGATGAGACACGCTGCACTCTTCACATGAGGAGTCAGCTTTCAGCCTCACACAGCTCTGCCAGATGCTGGATGTTCTGGCTTAAGGTCCATGCTGGGCGCCTGGCTTGGGCAAAAACTGATTTATGCACTTATTTGTTTTTAAAATTTCAGCTGAAACTCTTCTGCTGGGAAAATATATATATATTGTTTTGCTAATCTTAAGTTCTGTGCAGACTTCCTTTAAAAGGCTGTACCAGTTCCACACTTTGAAGGAAGGATTTGAACTCTGGAATCGGAGTGATTTTTGTGTGAGAGATGCTGCCATGCAAACCCAGCCAAATATGAACAAATCACATACATTCTGCCTACAAATGAGCAGAAGAGGCTGTGCCCCTATGCAGACAGTTGCCCACTGAATGGGATGAAGTTCAGGACTGCTGAGTCTCACTTTCAGAAAAGCCAATGAACACCAGTGGCACCATGGGACACTGCACCCCATCCTCAGGTCTGTCCCCACCAAGACCCAGTTGGTGACTGACAGCCCATGTCAGAGCCATGGCCCCAAAGGGTGTGG